GCCACTGTGCCTGGCCTTTTTTTTTTTTTTTTTTTTTTTTTTTTTAATGTAATTTTCCATTTTTGGGGTGGGGGACGGCGGATGAAGTGTTGCTCTGTCGCCAGGCTGGTGTGCAAGGGTGCGACCTTGGCTCACTGTAACCTCCGCCTCCTGGGTTTAGGTGATTCTCCTGCCTCAGCCTCTGGAGTAGCTGGGACTACAGGTGCATGCCACCACACCCAGCTAAGTTTTGTATTTTTAGTAGAGACAAGGTTTCACTATGCTGGCCAGGATGGTCTCGATCTTTTGACCTTGTGATCTGCCTGCCTCGGCCTCCCAGTGTGCTGGAATTTCAGGCATGAGCCACCTCGCCCATCCTGTTTTTTGCTTTTTATAACATAGGGTTCCTTTCAGCAGTATATAAAGATCTATATCATTCTTTTTATGGTTGCATATTATTCTATTAGATATGTATACCATAATTTATCTAACATCCCTCACCTCCCTATGAAGAACATTCAGGTTTAAGTTTTTTCCATACTTCTTATTAAAATAATTGTGGTCATGTATATATAGCTATGCAGTATTTAAATATATCTGTGGGACGCATTCCTAGAAGTTACGTCTTTAATATCAGTAAATATATTTTATTGTTTTGCTAGTATAACAGGAATTTTTCCCTACTCCTTTAGAAAGAAGCCTAAGAAGAGAGAAAATGGGATTGGATGTAGAAGATCAATGCGATTACTAAAAGCTGATCCTTCAGGAGTTTTATTACCAGCAACTCCAGCACCACCGGCATTAGTAGCAGATGAAACTGTAAGAAAATGTGCAAATACAGTATTTTACTTAATAAAATACTGAAAATTTGAAGTGTTGAAACTAGACTAAAAGTTCATTAGATTATGTTTAATTTTATATTTCATTCTTGAGTTTTTTTTTTTTTTTTTTTTTTTTTTTTTTTTTTTTTTTTTTTTTTTTGAGATGGAGTCTTGCTCTGTTGCCCAGGCTGGAGTACAGTGGCATGGAACCCCCTCCTCCCAGGTTCAAGTGATTCTTCTGCCTTAGCCTCCCAAGTATCTGGGATTACAGGCGTGTGCCACTATACCTGGCTGATTTTTTATATGTTTGATAGAGACGGAGTTTCACTATGCTGACCAGGTTGGTCTTGTACTCCTGACCTCACCTGTACTCCTCCTGTACACCTGCCTTGGCCTCCCAAAGTGCTGGTGTTACAGGTGTGAGCCACTGCGCCTGGCCTGTTCAGATTAATGAGTAAGATTTCAAAGTCTGCCGGGCGCGGTGGCTCAAGCCTGTAATCCCAGCACTTTGGGAGGCCGAGGCAGGTGGATCACGAGGTCAAGAGATCAAGACCATCCTGGTCAACATGGTGAAACCCCGTCTCTACTAAAATACAAAAAATTAGCTGGGCATGGTGGCGTATGCCTGTAATCCCAGCTACCCAGGAGGCTGAGGCAGGAGAATTGCCTGAACCCAGGAGGCGGATGTTGCGGTGAGCCGAGATCGCGCCATTGCACTCCAGCCTGGGTAACATGAGTGAAACTCCGTCTCAAAAAAAAAAAAAAGATTTCAAAGTCATAAAGACTGGATTGGATTCTGTATTTCTTTCTGCGGGGCTTACTTGCTGTAGGATTGTGGGTGAGTTCATTAGCCTTTCTTATCATTTCCCCATTTAAAAAATGTCAGCAATAATAGAACCCTCAGTAAATAATGTACAATTTTATGTCAGTTTAAAAAAAAAAAAGAGACCTCCGCTAGGCGCAGTGGTTCATGCCTGTAATCTCAGCACTTTGGGAGGCCGAGGTTGGCAGATCATGAGGTCAGGAGTTTGAGACCAGCCTGTCCAGTATGATGAAACCTGTCTCTACTAAAAAATACAAAAATATTAACTGGATGTGGTGGCGCATACCTGTAGTCCCAGCTACTTGGGTGGCTGAGGCAGGAGAATCACTTGAACCTGGGAGGTGGAGATTGCAATGAGCCAAGAACACACCACTGCATTCCAGCCTGGGCGACAGTAAGACCCTGTGTCAAAAAAAAAAAAAAAAAAAAAAAAAAACCTCTAAAGAGCTATTGTGAGCATAAATGAAATCATATCTGTAAAGTTTCTCACATTGTATTAAGGTCTTAGTAATCAATAAACTAGTTATTAATGTTAATTTTAGTGAGTAGCATTTTATTTAGCAAACTTATTGTCTAAGATTTTTTTTTTATTCAAGAACACCTATTTTTTAATACTTTAAGTATTGTAAATAGGAGAGTGGCGCTAATTAGGCTGGTGCTTTGGGAGCAAATTGCAAATCTAGGTGTTACGGGAAGCAGCATAGAAGAATAGCTTTCACGTGTTTTTGAAGCCTCAGCCCACCAGAAATATATTTATGGCCAGGTATAGTGGCTCATGCTTGTAATCCCAGCACTTTGGGAGGCTGAGGCAGGACAGTCGCTTGAGCCCAGGAGCTTGAGACCAGCCTAGCCAACATAAAGAGACGCTGTCCTTACAAAAAATACAAAAATTAGCTGGGTGTGGTGGCATGTGCCTATAGTCCCAGATCCTCAGGAGGCTGAGGTGAGAGCATCATGTTGTTTAGGCTGGTCTCAAACTCCTGGCCTCCAGAGATTTGCCCACCTTGGCCTCCCAAAGTGCTGGGATTACAGGCGTGAGCCACCACACCTGGCTGGTATTTCTATTTTATTCTCATTCACTGAAACAAATTGCTAGTTGTGACATATTAACATGATTTCTCACCCATTTATGCGTTACAAACTGTGTTTAAAAAAATACTACCCCCCCCCCCAAAAAAAAAGAAAAAAATATTATCCCTTCCCACACAGTGGGAGCTCCCTCCAGGATTTCCCCTCTGGAATTCCCTTCCACACTTTTCGTGGAAGGCTTTCTCTTCTTCTCCTTTCCGTCTCTTTCTACCTAAATAAAATCACCTTTCTGCAACAACAACAGCAACAACAAACTACTAATGTAGGTATAATACTGAATAATGAGTTAAGATAATCTGAGTCAATTCTCAGCTTCTTTAGTTATTGGCTCTGTGACTTCGGGCAAGTTAACTTCCCTAAGTTTGAATTCGGTGTCTTTAAAATGTGATACGTTGGCCGGGCGCGGTGGCTCACGCTTATAATCCCAGCACTTTGGGAGGCCAAGGCGAGTGGATCACGAGGTGAAGAGATCGAGACCATCCTGGTCAACAAGGTGAAACCCTGTCTCTACTAAAAATAGAAAAATTAGCTGAGCATGGTAGCGTGCGCCTGTAGTCCCAGCTACTTGGGAGGCTGAGGCAGGAGAATTGCTTGAACCCAGGAGGCGGAGGTTGCGGCGAGCTGAGATCGTGCCATTGCACTCCAGCCTGGGTAACAAGAGCGAAACTCCATCTCAAAAAAAAAAAAAATTAATTAATTAATTAAAATAAAATGTGATACCTCATTCACTAGGTTGTTGAGAGGATTTAATGAGATAATACATGTTATTATTACTTTATAGTGTACCTGGTATTCATTTATTGAAGAAATATTTTGAATATCCATGATATGCCACCATTAATTGCTGATGTAGAAAGTGAAGTTGTAGAAAAACAGACAAATACCTTTGTCCTTCTGTGTTTACATTCTAGGGCAGGGAGACAAACCAAAAACTTTTTATTTTTTATAACAGCCTTTGTTACCTCCTGGGCCTTTAGAAATGACTTCTGAAAATCAAGATGACAACAGTGAAGGATTTAAAGGATTTCTGCGGACATGGGCAGGAATGAGCAAGGTATCACTTTGGAAGGAAGGCTAATAGCCTTTAGAATCATCTGTTAAGGACATATATATATATATATGTATTAACTTAGTACTTGATCTCTCTCAATGTTTCAGCCAAGTAGTAAGAACACTGAGAAGGAGTTATCTAGCATTAAAAGGTAAGTTGAAATTCCTTGTGTTTCTTTTATATTTTTTGAGATGTTTGAATTATAAAGACTATACATCATTACAGGGAATTTTGAAAGTGAGATGTTTTGTATATTTCCTCTCAAGTGTTGCCCTATGCAACACCACTAGGATATAAGCTTCATGAGGGCAAAAATTTTATCTCAATAACCAGAAAAGTGCCTGGCACATAAATATATGTTCAGTGTTGAATAAATGAGTGAATCAATTTTTACTTCATGTTCTAATGTATATACAATTTTGTGTTACACTTCTTTTTTTTTTTTTTTTTTTTTTGAGACGGAGTTTCACTCATGTTACCCAGGCTGGAGTGCAATGGCGCGATCTCGGCTCACCACAACCTCCGCCTCCTGGGTTCAGGCAATTCTCCTGCCTCAGCCTCCTGAGTAGCTGGGATTACAGGCACGCACCACCATGCCCAGCTAACTTTTTGTATTTTAGTAGAGACGGGGTTTCACCATTTTGACCAGGATGGTCTCGATCTCTTGACCTCGTGATCCACCCGCCTCGGCCTCCCAAAGTGCTGGGATTACAGGCTTGAGCCACTGCGCCCGGCCCTATACTTCTTTTTTTTTTTTAAAAGACAAGATCTCCCTCTGTTGCTTAGGCTGCAGTGCAGTGGCACAATCTTGGCTCACTGGAACCTCTGCTTCCTGGGCCCAAGTGATCCTTCCGCCTCAGCCTCCCAAGTATCTTGGACTACAGGCATGCACCATCATACTTCACTAACTTTTACATTTGTAGAGATGAGATTTTGCCATGTTGCACAGGCTGGTCTTAAACACCTGGGCTCAAATGAGTCATCTGCCTTGGACTCCCAAAGTGCTGGGATTATAGGTGTGAGCCACTGTGCCTGGCCCACATTAATGCTTTTTTCATTTGTGGTTGCATGTTACTAGAGTCTTTTTTTTTTTTTTCTTTTGAATTTGAGGAGTCTTGCACTGTTGCCCAGGCTGGAGTGCAATGGCACTGTCTCGGCTCACTGCAACCTCTGCCTCCCGGGTTCACGTGATTCTCCTGCCCCAGCCTCCTGAGAAGCTGGGATTATAGGTACACACTACCACACCCAGCTAATTTTTTTGTATTTTTGGTAGAGATGGAGTTTCACTATGTTGGCCAGACTGGTTTCAAACTCTTGACCTTGTGATCTGCCCACCTTGGCATCTGAAAGTGCTGGGATTACAAGCATGAGCCACTGTGCCCAGCCTGCATATTGCTAGAGTCTTTAAACTTATTGAATGATTATAAAATAGTCCATTGAGTAGAAGGAATTTACTTTTCCTCCTACCTGCCTGGTATTTGCAGTTGCTTTCTATTTAGTCCTGTGTATTTGTGTATGTGTTGTTGAAGTGTATGGATATAATAGTGGATTATTTCTTTAGGTTAGATTTCCACAAGTGAAATTAATGCATCAAGTATTATGAACATTTTTATGGCTTTTAGTACACATTGCCAAATTGTTTCTAAAAAGTCTTTTTTTCTTTGATCTGAAAATTTTATATGAACTTACTCTTCCTCTAGCAATATGTGTTAGTATGTGTATTTAACTTCAGCCTACCAGTTTTTGGTGTTATTAAAATTATCAAGGTTAATTTAAAAAGTGAAACATAGTATTGCTTGATTTGATTTCCTTGGTTACCAGGAGATTGAATAGTTTCCCGTATTTATTTACTGGTTATGGTTTTTCTTTTGAATCATCTTTTACTTATTTTGACTATTGAGATTGGTTTTACTTATAAAATTTAACTTTCTAATTTTCTTAGCTACAAAGCCAATTTAAATGGCATGGTCATTAGTGAAGATACTGTTTACAAAGTTACCACAGGCCCAATATTCTCTATGGCTCTCCACCCATCAGAAACTAGAACTTTGGTAGCAGTTGGGGCCAAATTTGGGCAAGTTGGACTTTGCGATTTGGTAAGTTATTATTTTTTGAAGATATTATAGTTTGAGTAAAGCAAATAGCCTTTAAGAGAATAAGCCAGAGCAATGTGTTTATAAATGTTGTGTGAGACTTATAGTTTTGCATTTTATGATGCTTTATGATTCTAAATTTTAGAAATCTAGAGGAATTTAAATTTGCTTTATAGAACTTTAATATTTTTAGCTTGAATATCATTAACCATCTGGGCATAAATTAACTGCCAGCAAACTTTATTACACTTTAGATGTATATGTGAAAAGATCACACATAGTTCTTAGTTTTCTAGTTGTGTTTAAAATATTGTCTGCTATGGTCTGAATTTTTCCCCCCCAAATTCATATGTTGAAAAACGAATCCCTGTGATATTAGGAGATAGGACCTTTGGGAGGGGATAAGGTCATGAATGAGATTAGTGCCCTTAAAAAAAAAACCCACTAGAGACCACTGCCCCTTATATCATATGAGGACACAGCTAGAAGGCATCAACTATGAACCAGAAAGTGGCCAGACGTTGAATCAGCTGGAATCTTGACCTCGGTCTTCCTAGTCACCAGGACCGTGAGAAATAAATTGCTGCTGTTTATAAGCACTCAGTTTATGGTACGTTGTTTTAGCAGCCCAAATGGACTAAGACACAGTTTCTAAGCTGTATGAAAATATCTTCCCAGGGACCTGCTTTGGGATGATTCCAGTCATCTTTGATGAGCCAGAAATAGATATTGAATTGCATTCATTGTGCATATAATTCATAAGGAAGTGCTGTCTGTTGTTAATTGAGAAAAGTCAAGTTAATGTTCTCTGAATTTATTTTTTTATTGGGGAAGAAAACCAAAGACATGAAAAATGCCATAAGGACAATTAATGATGAAACAGTGGTGCCTTGAAGTTGGTTGGGGTTTGTAAACAAAATTTGCAAGTTGGAAGACAGAGATAGAAACCAAGTTCTCTCTTATTTTGGGATCATAGATTCTCCCTTATTTTGATAAGATGTGAGTGGGGGTAGGAGGTGATAGGATTTAGCAAAGACAACTGAAGCAAAAAAGTGGGAAGAAGATCAGAATAGTATATTTTAGAAGCCGAGGTAAGAGTTTCAAGGATGCAAGGTTGGCAGAGCCTTTTGCAGAGAAGTTAAAAGAATGGAGAAAAGGCCATTGGTTATGAAAATAGGGTACCATTTGTTGAGAGAATAGCTTTGACAATGAGTTAAGTAAGGAACAGGGGCTTTTGGAGATTAAGAAAGTATGGGGTAATGGAAGAACTGGAAGCAATGAGATAGAGACTACTGTTTTTTTTTTGTTTTGTTTTTTTTTGAGACATGATCCCACTCTGTTGCCTAGTCTGGAGGGCAGTAGCATGATCATAGCTCACTGCAGCCTCAGCCTCCCAGGCTCAAGTGATCTTCCACTTCAGCTTCCTGAGTAGCTGGGATTACAGTGATGTGCCACCATGCCTGGCTAATTTTTTTATTTTTTGTAGAGACAGGGGTGTCACTATATTGCCTAGGCTGATCTAGAACTCCTGAGCTCAAGCATTCTACCTGCTTCAGCCTCACAAAGTGCTGGGATTACAGGTGTGAGCCACTGCACCCATCTGAGAATACTTTTTTTTTTCTTTTTTTGAAATGGAGTTTTGCTCTTGTCGCCCAGGCTGGAGTACAGTGGCTTGATTTTAGCTCACTGCAACCTCCACTTCCCAGGTTCAAGCATTTCTCCTGCCTCAGCCTCCTTAGCAGCTGGGACTACAGGCACTTGCCACCACACCCAGCTAATTTTTGTATTTTTAGTAGAGACGGAATTTCACCGTTTTGGCTGGGCTGGTCTGACCTTGTGATCCACCTCCCTTGGCCTCTCAAAGGGCTTGGATTACAGACATGAGCCACCGTGCCAAGCCCTGAGACTACTTTTTGAAGAATTTTGAGAAGGAAAAATTGCAAATTAGCATGATTAAGTGAAGATATTTTTTGGATGAGTTAATCTGTATAGAATTTAAGACTTATGTAAAAATCCTTTTTTCTTTCTTTATTTTTAAGATGGAGTCTCACTTTGTCACCCAGGCTGGAGTGCAGTGGTGTGATCTTGGCTCATTGCAACCTCCACCTCCTGGTTCAAGCAATTCTCCTGCCTCAGCCTCCCGAGTAGCTGGGATTAACAGGCATGTGCCACCATGCTTGGCTTATTTTTTGTATTTTTAGTAGAGATGGGGCTTTACCATGTTAGCCAGGATGGTCTCCATCTCCTGACCTTATGATCTGCCCACCTTGGCCTGCCAAAGTCCTGGGATTACAGGTGTGAGCCACCGTGCCTGGCCCAAAAATCCTTTTTCTCCTACCTTTCCTGGTGACTCCAAAAATCTGTATTACTAGGTCTCTATAGTCCAGTACCTCCATCCACCTAGTTTTCCAGGATACTTGGCAATCTCGTTAGCAGATTTAGCAAGTCTAAAAGCAGTATCATCTTGCCTATCCTGTGCTCACAATTTCCCATTTTTTTTTTTAAGAAGCTTTATGGAGGTATAATTTATCATACAATCCACCTACTTAAAATGTGAAATTCAGCATTTTCTTTTTTTCTTTTTTTTTGTTTTGAGATGGGAGCCTCGCTCTGTTGCCCAGGCTGGAGTGCTGTGGTACGATCCCAGCTCACTGCAACCTCTGCCTCCTGTGCATCCTGGCACAGGGTGATTCTTGTGCCTCTGCCTCCCGAGTAGCTGGGATTATAGGTGCTTACCGCCACACCTGGCTAATTTTTGTACTTTTTGTAGAGATGAGATTTCTTCATGTTGGCCAGGCTGATCTTGAACTCCTGACCTCAAGTAATCCATCTGCCTTGTCCTCCCCATGCTGGGATTACAGGTGTGAGCCAGCGTGCGCAGCCTCAATGGTTTTTAATAAGTTTACTGAGTTGTTTAACTTTCATAGTCTGGTTCTAGAGCATTTTCATCATTTCTTTCTCTCTCTCTTTTTTTTTTTTTCTGAGAAAGATTTAACCTTGGCATTTTCATCATTTCTATAAGATCCCTGATGCCAGCTGGGCACAGTGGCTCATGCCTGTGATTCCAGCACTTTGGGAAGTTGAGGCAGGAGAATCGCTTAAGCCCTCTAGTTCCAGACCTGCCTAAGTGACATAGTGAGACTCCTGTCTCTACAAAAAAAAAAAAAAAAAAAAAAAAAGGGTGTGGTGGTGTGTGCCTGTAGTCCCAACTACTCAGGAAGCTGAGCTGGGAAGATCATCTGAGCCCAAGGAGATTGAGGCTGCAGTGAGCCACGATTATGCATTCCAGGTTGGATTGACCGAGTGAGACCCTGTCTGCAAAAAAAAAAAAAAATTTTACTTATTGCAATAAGAAAGAAGCAGAACTTAATGTAGTACACTTAAAAACTAGCTACCAAGGAGAGAAATCCTGTAGCAGAGCTAGGAGACAGCATAATTTAGCTTCTGCTCTGCCCTGTGCACAGAATCCATACTGCTAAATGGACCAAATTCTGAGAATTTTCTCCTATATTATTAAAAGTAGAAAGAAGCACATTGTATTCTGATTTTCTCTCTTTTGAATGAGAAATAGGGAAATGGTTGCTGGGAAAAAATAGAGGAAGTAGGGAAGGTGAATAGTAGAACTGATTATCTTCAAAGGAAGTTTTCTTGGCCCATGGGAATGGTAACAGTCGTATGAATCCTGGTATAAAATAATGAACAAGGCCAAGCATGGTGGCTCACACCTGTAATCCCAGCACTTTGGGAGACCGAGGTGGGCAGATGACGAGGTCAAGAGATAGAGACTATCCTGCCCAACATGGTGAAACCCCGTCTCTACTAAAAATACAAAAAGTAGGCGGGCGCCTGTACTCTGGGCTACTCGGGAGGCTGAGGCAGGAGAATCGCTTGAACCTGAGAGGCAGAGGTTGTAGTGACCCAAGATCCTGCCACTGTGCTCCAGCCTGGGTGACAGAGTGAGACTCCATCTAAAAAGAAGAAAAAGGCAGTTAAAGATGATCCAACAAATGGAACAGAAAATATATTCAGACAATTTTCCTGCAATTAAGGCAGAATTGAATTGGCAGTTGAATGTGTACACTGCATTCCAGGAATATGAGAAACTTACTAAATCTTTTTGTTTGTTTTTGAGACAGAATTGCGCTCCATCACGCAGGTTGGAGTGCAGTGGTGAGATCTCAGATCACTGCAACCTCTGCCTCCCGGGTTCAAGAGATTCTCCTGCCTCAGCCTCCTGAGTAGCTGGGACTACAGGTGTGCAGCACCACACCTGGCTAATTTTTGTATTTTTAGTAGAGATGGGGTCTCACCATACTGGCCAGGCTGCTCTCAAACTCCTGACCTCATATCTACCCACCTCGGCCTCCCAAAGTGCTTGGATTACAGGTGTGAGCCCCCACCCTGCCTTTTTTTTTTTTTTTTTTTTTTTTTTTTTTTTTTGCAGAGCCTCACTCTGTCCCCCAGGCTGGAGTGCCGTAGCACAATTCCGCTCACTGCAACTTCTGCCTCCTGGGTGCAAGCAATTCTCCTGTCTCAACATGGTGAAACCCCATCTCCACTAAAAATACAAAAATTAGTCAAGTGTGGTGGTGAGCGCCTATAATCTCAGCTACTCAGGAGGCCTAGGCAGGAGAATTTCTTGAACCCAGGAGGTGGAGGTTGTAGTGAGCTGAGATCATGCCACTGCACTTCAGCCTGGGCGAGAGAGTGAGACTCCATCTCAAAAAAAAAAAAAAAAAAAAAAAAAAAAGGCTGTTGGAGGTAGGATGAGAATAATATTCTCAAATCAGTAATCAGTGGAAATTGTCTAAAATTAACAGTTTAAAAAATAAAAAGCTGCTGGGCATGGTGGCTCACGCCTGTAATCCCAGCACTTTAGGAGGCTGAGGTGGGTGGATCATGAGGTCAAGTATTCAAGACCAGCCTGACCAACATGGTGAAACCCCGTCTCTACTAAAACTACAAAAATTAGCTGGGCATGGTGGCGTGCACCTGTAATCCCAGCTTCTAGGTTGGCTGAGGCAGGAGAATTGCTTGAACCTGGGAGGGAAAGGTTGCAGTGAGCTGAGGCACCATTGTACTCCATCCTGGGTGACAAAACAAAAATCCATCTCAAAAAAAATAAAAAATAAAAAGCATAATGACTACAGTTGCTTCTTGTTTTATACTTTTGTCATTGTAGGAGATAACGTCTCTGTAAATACTTGAAGTTTAAAAATTCCTTTAGCTTCATATTCTTAAATTATTTTGACATCTTTATTTGTACCTATACAGATAGAATGACAGAGAAGAAATTTTACAAAAGGACCATGCGATATGTGCCATTTTAAATTACATTGAATTTGACTATAAAGATGTCTATAATAATACTCAGTATTTTCATGATAATTTTGGCTAATTTTAGATTTGGAAAGTTTTTTTTTCTTTTTGAGAAGGAGTTTTGCTCTTGTTGCCCAGGCTGGAGTGCAGTGGTGTGATCTTGGATCAATGCAGCCTCCACCTCCTGGGTTTAAGCAATTCTCCTGCCTCGGCCTTTCAAGTAGCCAAGATTACAGGCATGCGCCACCATGCCCGGCTAAGTTTTATATTTTTAGTAGAGATGGTGTTTCACTATGTTGGTCAGGCTGGTCTTGAACTGCAGACCTCAGGTGATGCCCCAACCTCGGCCTTGCAAAGTGCTGGGATTACAGGTGTGAGCCATTACACTGGTCCTGGAGTGATTTTTTATTTTTCCTGAGATGGTGTCTCACTCTCTCATTCAGGCTGGAGTGCAGTGGCGCTATCTCGGCTCACTGCAGTCTCCACTTCTCTGGTTCAAGCAGTTCTCTGCTTTAGCCTCCCTAGTAGCTGGGATTACAGTCGCCTGCCACCACCTGCAGCTAATGTTTGTATTTTTAGGAGAGATGAGGTTTCACCATCTTGGCCAGGCCGGTCTTGAACTCCTGACCTTGTGATCCACCTGCCATGGCCTACCAAAGTGCTGGGAATACAGGTGTGAGCCACTGTGCCCGTGGCCTGGAGTGATTTTTTAAAAACATTCATCTTTGTATATTTCTGCATTGTTTGAGTTCTTTATAACAAGAGGAAGGTTTGCTTTTTTAGAAAATAAATGCTTTAAACAAATATGCCAGTAGTTTCTGGTAACAGGAAGAGTATGTGTGATGATAATTTTTTCTCTTTTTTTTTCCCCTTATAAAAATGTTTCATTTAAAATTTAAAAAAAGTGCTTTACCATTTCAGAGTAGAATAAGCCAGATTTGGAGGTGATGCTTTGTCTGATTCATAATATGCCACACAGCATACAAACATAACTTACTTTGATCTGAAAAGTGACTTCTCAGGAGTTGGCAATCCATTATGGAAAGGGAAAAAGTCCTTAGGAGTAGGTATATTAATATGGAAATTCAAATACATGCATTTTAATGGTGTATTTAGAGGACAAAATACGTTTAAAAGTATCGTTTTTGTGCCAGGACCAAATACCTTATGAAAATTATGCTGAGAATGAGTAAATTAATATTACGCAGAAGCCTGCTGCAGAAGCAAAGTGATAAGGTACTGATACTGTTTTGGTTAGCAGTTATACCATATGTGAAATAAAGAGTAGATTTCTCATTTTCTGAGGATTTTATGAACTGACAGTAATATATAAAGTAGTACATTAGTTGCAGAAAGCTGGTCACTTAATATTAATGTGACTTGGTATTGTTGGATTGATAACTAGAAAAAAGTTAATGACAAGATAAAGTTTCTAGTTCTGACTTTCTGAAGGGGAGAGTGGTTACAATTATAGACTAAGAAAAGACAATATAATCCAGTGTAAATTCTTTAATGACATAATAGCATAGCAAAAATCACTACTTTTCACTAGTTTTGTTCTCCCAACTCTCTTCCAGACCCAGCAACCTAAAGAAGATGGAGTTTATGTTTTTCATCCCCATAGTCAGCCAGTTAGCTGTCTTTACTTTTCACCTGCCAATCCGGCCCACATACTGTCACTAAGCTATGATGGCACGTTACGCTGTGGGGATTTTTCCAGGGCTGTTTTTGAAGAGGTAAATGTTAATGTGTTTACATGCTGACCTCAGATGATATTCTGGATTATTTATATTCTGGATTATATTATTATTATTTATGATATTCTGGATTATTTATTATGTCCCATGAATAATTATTATATCAATCATATTGGGAGAAGTGGTATAGCAGAAAGACTTTGAGAAATACACTAAGTTCAAATCCTAGATCATCTATTACTAGTTGTGTGACCTTGACAAGTTGCTTAACCTCTTTGTGCGTCACTTTCCTTGGTTGTGAAATGGGATATAACAGTACTGATCTTATACGGTTGTCATGAGAATTTAATGAGTTTATGCAGATAAAATGCTTAGAACAGAGCCTAGCACATAGTATGTGTGCTTGTTAATTTTTTTTTCCCAAAGCTTTTAAATAAAGTAACTTATTCTTCTGTTTTTAGGCATAAGACTTATATTTAGCTGGGTGTGGTGGCTCATGCTTGTAATCCCAGTACTTTGGGAAGCCAAGGTGGGAGGCTCACTTCAGGCCAGGAGTTCCAGATCAGCTTGGGCAACATGGCTAGACCTTGTCTCTCCCAAAATTAAAAGATATTAGCCGGGTGTGGTGGTGTGTGCCTGTAGTCTCAGCTACTCAGGAGGCTGAGATGGGAAGATCAGTTTTGCCAAGGAGACTAAGGCTGCAGTAAAGCTGTGATTGCACTTCATTGCACTTAAGCCTGGGCGACAGAGTGAGACCCTCTCTCAAAATAAAACATCTTCTACTTAATGTTTAAAACAAACATACCTTTTGAGATGAACTTTCAGATTTGCTTAACTGTATCAGATTGCCTCAATAAGAGAATTATTATAAGTTGAACTTTGTTTTTTATTTTTTTGAGACAAAATTTCACTCTTGTCACCCAGGCTGGAGTGCAGTGGTGCAATCTCGGCTTACTGAAACCTCTGCTTGGCTTACTGCAACCTCCGCTCGGCTCACTGCAACCTCTACCTCCCGGGTTCAAGTGATTCTCCTGCCTCATCCTCCTGAATAGCTGGGATTACAGGCGCCCACCACCACGCCTGGCTAATTTTTGTATTTTGTGTGTGTGTGTGTGTGTGGGGAGATGGAGTCTTGCTCTGTCACCCAGGTTGGAGCGCAGTGCCTTTATTTTGACTCACTGCAACCTCCATCTCCTGGGTTCAAGTAATTCTACTGCCTCAGTTTCTGAAGTAGCTGGGATTATAGACTCGTGCCACCATGCCTGGGTAATTTCTTTTGTATTTTAGTAGAGATGGGGTTTTACCGTGTTGGCCAGGCTGGTCTCAAACTCCTGGCCTCAGGTGACCCGCAAGTGATGGCCTCCCAAAGTGCTGGGATTGCAGGTGTGAGCTACCACACTCAGCCATAAGTTCAACTTAAAAAATATATAGATTTTAGGCCGGGCGCGGTGGCTCAAGCCTGTAATCCCAGCACTTTGGGAGGCCGAGGCGGGTGGATCACGAGGTCAAGAGATCGAGACCATCCTGGTCAACATGGTGAAACCCCATCTCTACTAAAAATACAAAAAATTAGCTGGGCATGGTGGCGTGTGCCTGTAATCCCAGCAACTCAGGAGGCTGAGGCAGGAGAATTGCCTGAACCTGGGAGGTGGAGGTTGCAGTGAGCCGAGATCGTGCCATTGCACTCCAGCCTAGGTAACAAGAGCGAAACTCCGTCTCAAAAAAAAATATCTATCTATCTATCTATCTATATATATAGATTTTAATATTTGTAAAACTTAGGATGAAAATTTAAATGTAGATCTTTATCCTTTATCTTATTTTGAATGGAATTTTAAAAATTTTTAGAGATTGTCAGTTTAAGAGCAATTTGTATGTGATACACAATGCAGAAAACCATATACTCATTACTGAAGTTACTTTGAAGTTACTAATTGATGATCAAGTTTATGCCTTAGTTTTTTTATATAAGCCAGTGCTCAAAATTAACACATTCTGGTATTTTTGCAGTTATTCTAAATATGTATAGATGGCTCATAATTATTACTGTTATTGTTTTGGAGACTGAGTCTCACTCTGTTGCCTAGGCTGGAGTGCAATGGTGTGATCTCCGCTTACTGCAACCTTTGACTCTTGGGTTCAAGCGATTCTCCTGCCTCAGCCTCCTGAGTAGCTAGGATTATAGGGATTACAGGTGCCCACCACCAGGCCTGTAATCCCAGCATTTTGGGAGGCTGAGGAGGGCGGATCACCTGAGCTTAGGAATTTGAGACCAGCCTGACCAACACAGGGAAACCCCATCTTTACTAACAATACAAAAATTCACTTGGCGTGGTAGTGTGCATCTGTTGTCCCAGCTATTCGGGAGTCTGAGGCATGAGAATTGTTTGAACCTCGGAGGTGGAGGCTGCAGTAAGCCGAGATTGTGTCACTGTAGTCCAGTCTGGGTGACAGAGGGAGACACTCAAAAAAGAGAAATATGTTACATACGATACAATTTACCATTTTAGGTGTATAGTTCATTCAGTTTTGGTGAATTGCATGCACCTACATAACCATCATAATCAAGATACGGAGCCAGGTGCCTTGGCTCACACCTGTAATCCCAGCACTTTGGGAGGCTGAGGCAGGTGGATCACTTGAGGTCAGGAGTTTGAGACCAACATGGCGAAACCCCATCTCTACTGAAAAAAAAAAAAATACAAAAATTGGCCATGCATGGGGGTTCCTGCCTGTAATCCTAGCTATCCAGAGGCTAGGGCAGGGAGAATCGCTTGAACCCAGGAGGTGGAGGTTGCAGTGAGCCAAGATTGCATCACTGCACTCCAGCCTGAGTGACAGAGTGAGACTTTGTCTCAAAATATATGTGTGTGTGTGTGTGTGTGTGTGTGTGTGTATAAAATTTCCATGTCCCCCAAAATTTCGTCATGACCTTTTGTAGTCATTCTCCTTCCACTGCCTGCAATCCCTGGCAACCACTAATGTGATTACTGTCCCTATAATTTTGTCTTTTCCTGAATGTCAAGCAATTGCAATTATATGTAGCCTTTTTTTCCTGGCTTCCTTTACCTAGTGTAACACTTTTAAGATTAGTTCATGCTGTTGCATATATTCGAAATTTGTTCCTGATTCTACTGACTGAACAGTTACCTTATGCTAGGCACTATCTTGAGTGTGCTTTATATACATCAAGTTTATAACACCTTAGAAAATGAGTAATGTGCATTTAACAGGTGAAAAATTGAGGCAAAGAGAGGTTTATGAGGTTGCTCAAGGACGTAGATGGCAGAACAAGAATTTACACTAGGGTTTGTCTGACTCCAAAGCCCCTGCTCTTAACAATGTAAATATACTGAGTATGTGAAGTTTTATTTGTATATATTGATCTTTTTGGCGGGCTTGGGGGTTGCGTTGCCTCTAGTATATTAATTTGTTATTCTTAGTTAATAATACTTGTTATTTGAACTAACAATCAGCAATTCATGATTCAACAATAAGAATTGTGGTCGTCCTCTCTTAGATGATAGAAAGATTTATTTTTTTGTTCTTTATATGTATGAGTCCTAAACCCAAAGTGATTGCATTGTGGATTACATGTGATTAAAAACTTAATAACATGCTCATGATAAAATATTTACAGTAAATCAGATAATGAAAGTAAATCTGCCTTTCATTCCCATTATTCACAAGTAACCATTGTTTCATATCTTGAGTATGCTTTCAGAAAGTGCACTTATGCTTACAAGCATATAGTTATACTTTTTTTTTTTTTTTTTTTTTTTTTTTGAGACAGAGTCTCCCTCTTTCACCAGGAGGCAGGCTGGAGTGCAGTGGCACGATCTCGGCTCACTGCAACCTCTGCCTCCTAGCTTCAGGCAATTCTCCTGCCTGAGTCTCCTGAGTAGCTGGAACTACAGACATGCGCCACCACATCGAGATAATTTTTGTATTTTAGTTAGAGACGGGGTTTCACTGTGTTGGCCAGGATGGTCTTGGTCTCTTGACGTCATGATCCACCTGCCTTGGCCTCCCAAAGTGGTGAGATTACAGGTGTGAACCACCGCACATGGCCTAGTTATACATTTTTTTCTCTTCTTCTTTATACTAATGGATTCATACTAATATGCATAGCCTTTTGCAACTCTTTTCACTTAGTAGTATATCTTGGACAGTTAATAATATAAAACTACCTTATTCTTTTTAGCATTGCATGGTATTTCAAAGCAGAGATGGACCATCATTTATTTAACCAGATCTCTCTTGGTGGATATTTAAGTTGCTTCTTCTTATAAGCAGTCTTGCAGCAGGCATTGTTATAGGTCTTAGTAAAATTACTGAGTCAAAAAGTATAAGCATTAAACATTTTGATAGATGTAGCCTGATTAACTGTCAAAAATATATATATTTACTCTTCTACTAAGAGTAGGTAAGCATTCAGCTGTGCATCTTGGACTTGGTTGGCAAAGTTACCTTGCATATTAGGATTAATATTAATTTCTGTTGGGTAGAATTCTGATTCAGTTATTTTCCTGTTAAGTTGTGAAGGGTAGATATGGAACTGAGGTTTATTGGGTTTGAGAAATTTCGGATGTAGCCCTGACATGGGTAGATGGGCCATTTAATTTATAGGCAAGTCTCAGAGCTGATCAGTGCCTTTCTTTCTTTCTTTTTTTTTTTTTTAATTTTCAGGTAGATGGAATAAGTTCTAATGTTCAGTAGCAGAGGTAGGGTAACTATAGTTAAAAACAGTGTATTGTATATTTTAAAATAGCCAGAAGAGAGGACTTGAAATGATCCCAACACATAAAAATGACAAATATTCAAAGTGGTGGATATCCTAAATACCCTGATTGTGTTTCCATTGTGTCCTGTGCATATGATGGGGATGATGGGAGAATAAATGAGGTTATTTGAGTAAAGTGTTTTATAACCCTTTACCAAAGAATTTATGCTCTGGTTTTCTTTACAAGAGGAATGTGATACAAGCTGATTGGTACTTATATTCTTAGGTGTATAGAAATGAAAGAAGTAGCTTTTCCTCCTTCGACTTCTTGGCAGAAGATGCCTCCACTTTAATAGTAGGACACTGGGATGGAAAGATGTCACTGGTGGATAGACGGACACCTGGAACTTCTTATGAGAAACTTATCGGTTCTTCTATGGGAAAAATAAGAACTGTTCATGTCCACCCAGTGCATAGACAGTATTTTATCACTGCCGGATTGAGGTATGGTCTTTATAAGGCTTTATGACGTAGACCTTTCAATGTCACGATTACCTGGTTTAGTTTGGTTGTCAGAGATACCTGACTTTTGTAATACCCAAAGGCCAAGTACTTTCCCTTTCTGTACTGATTGAAACTTTTTTGAGTGATTTTTTTTTTTTTTTGGAAAAGGAGAAAATCTTTTAGATTTAATGAATAGTGAAAATACTGAAAGAAATTTTTGTTTTCCTTGGCATTACATGCATTTACTTTTAATCGTATGAGAAGAAAATTTAAATTTTAAGGAAAAATAAGTTGTATGTGTGTTAACTTTTTTCTTGGAAGGATTGAAAAACCAGTTAGAAACTTGATGGCTGGGCGTGGTGGCTCATGCTTATAATCTCAGCACTTTGGGAGGCTGAGGCAAGCAGATCCCTTGAGGTCAGGAGTTCAAGACCAGCCTGGCCACTATGGTGAGACCCTATCCCTACTAAAAATACAAAAATTAGCCAGATGTGGTGGTGCACACCTATAATCCCAAGCCACTGAGGAGGCTGAGACAGCAGAATCACTTGAACAAGGGAGGCGAAAGTTGGAGTAAGCCAAGATCGCACCACTGTACTCCAGTCCGGATGACCGAGCGAGACTGTGTCTCAAAAAAACGAAATAAAACAAAACTGGTCTTTCTGTACACACTGGTTACCTGTATCTACTATAGTTTTGGGATGTGTCTAGTATTTTACTTGTTATCTATACCGCTTTTGGGAAAATTACAGATTATTAGAGGTTTCTGTCTTAAATGTTCTTCAGTATAGCAAGTATGTGAGTGTCTAACTTATCTTTAGTCCTGTTGTAGAGTCTCGTTACATCTGCTATGGCAACACTGATCATTGTTTCTGCCATTACAGGGATATTCATATTTATGATGCAAGGCACCTGAATTGCAGGGGAAGTCAGCCTTTGATTTCTTTGACTGAACATACAAAGAGCATCGCTTCTGCCTATTTTTCACCTCTTACTGGTAACAGAGTGGTGACCACATGTGCTGATTGTAATCTGAGGTAAATTGGGAAGGCAGAAATATGTTTTTAAGGAATCTGAGGAGTCTGTAACTACTGTGTTAGTCAAAAGTTTTATTTACTGCTGTTCCTATTAAATTGCTAGTGTTATTGTTTTGTAGTCATATCTTGGTTCCCAAAGACCAGTGACCTGTATTTAATGGCTTTTCAGCAGTTCTTGAAATTTCCTTGAGACTGGCAAAGGTCCATACCTACCCTGGGGGGTTTATGGTCACATTTCCCTTTTAGCACTGAAGAATCCCAGAAACCAGGCTATGTAGCATTCTGAAAAGGAGATAATTTTAGCATACTTTGGGGTCAGTGGGATTTATTCCACACGTGAAGTGCTGAATGGAAATTGCAGAGCCCCCGACATTGGGCAGACAGAAAATAGCAAAAACTGGGATGCTATACAAACTGTTGGTTGGATATGGTTTTATAGTTCTAGGGTTTTAGCTTTAATACCTTTCTATAGCTACTGCCTAAAAATGGATTTAAAGTGTAATATAAACCAATTGAACAGAAAACAGTGTCAGTGAAGATATCAGGAACATTAGTGTAGTCACAAAGGAAAATTATTTTGTCATCTTTTAGAATCCCCGATTTTGCTTAAAATTGCAAGCACTTCTCAGTTTGAAGGTTTTTACCTTAAGTGATTTTGGAATTCATATATTACTCCAGAATGGCACCCAATTTCTGTTTAAACCCATGTATTGGGAAGAGCATGGTCTGCAGTGTGTGACAGGCGTCCAGTTAGTTTCTAGCAAAGTCTGTATTACCAGATGGTGCAGAAAGAGAGTCACCAGGAATGGTAGGCCAGCATCTCCTTTCCACTCGCAGTTTTCTTTGTCTCAAGGGCTTCCTGTTCTGTTCCTGTTCATTTACACTGCAGTTTACTCTTGTTACATTAACCGTTAGTGGTTTAACTTTCTACTAATCTATTTAGGCCATAAGCTCTAGTGCCTAGAAACCACATAGAAAAGCTAGGCACAAGGAGAAGAGAAGAAGTTGGACATGCTTTTAGTTTTCTTTTTTCTTTTCGTTTTTTTTTTTTTAATACGGGGTTTCACCATGTTGGCCAGGATGGTCTCGATTTCTTGATCTCGTGATCCGCCTGCCTCAGCCTCCCAAAGTGCTGAGATTACAGGTGTGAGCCACTGCGCGCGGTGCGTTTGGTTTTCTTTTGCTGAGGTGCTCAGTGGAGGCTTTTAGACTCCTCTCCAACTGCCGTATAAAAACTGCTCATGCCTATAATCCTAGCATTTCTGATGTGAGAGGATCAGTTGAGCCCAGGAGTTCAAGACCCGCCTGGGCAACATAGGGAGACCTTGTCTCTACAGAAAAAAATTAGCCAGATGTGGTAATGTGTGCTTATAGTCCTAACTACCTGGGAGGCTGAGGTGGGAGGATCACGTGAGCCTGGAAGGTTAAGGCTTCAGTGAGCTGTGACAGCGCCATTGCACTTCAGCCAGGGCATCACAATGAGACGCTGTCTCTTGAAAAACCAAAACGCAACTCCTCTCCTTGGTTGCTGGCTGGTCTTAGTCTGGCAATGACACTATCAGGCCTTCAACTGGTAAGTCTCAGGGAGACTGCTGTTGATACATGGATGTACTTTTAGGTAATTTGTACATTTTCAGATCACATCCTTTATGTCCCATATTATTGTGAATTGTGAATGTAGTTTGACAGTTCAAATTGTCACTTTAGAATGTGCATTTTAAGTTTGGAGTAATAGTGTTTAAATAAATTATTGCTATTTATCATTTATCATTCATTTTTTTTTTTTCAGACAGGATCTTTTTGTTGCCCAGACTGGAGTGCAGTGGCATAATCATGGCTCACTGCAATCCTGACCTGCTGGGCTCCAGCAATCCTACTGCCTCAGCTTCCCAAGTAGCTGGGACTACAGGCATTTGCCTAGCTATATATATATATATATATATATATATATATATGTATGTATGTATGTATTCATTTTTTATAGAGATGAGGTCTCGCTATATTGCCCAGGCTGGTCTCAAACTCCTGGCCTGAAGTGATCCTCCCACCTTGGCCTCAAAATGCTGAGATTACAGGTGTGAGCCACCACACCCAGCCAAATGATTTCTACACTAAACTATAAGCACTGACTGACTTTATAGTACATCTTTAACTTTTGTTTAGTATCTTGGCCAAGATTTGTTAGAGCCTGATCCTATTCTTTTTTTTTTTTTTTAAAGACAGGTTGTGCTCATAGCTTGGTGTAACCTCAAACTCCTGGGCTTAAGCGATCTACTTGCCTCAGCCTCCTGAGTAGCTCGGACTACAGGCATGTGCCCCACGCCCAGCTAATTTTTAATTTTTTTGTACAGATGGGTCTCACTGTGTTGCCTAGGCTGGTCTCAAACTCCTGGCCTCAGATGATCCTCCTGTGGATTATAGGCATGAGTCTCTAAACCTGGTCTAATCCTACATATTTTTAAATGACAGTTACATATTTCATACCATGAACTAATGAGAAGCTTGTTAAATACACTGATATTTGTTTTGTAAAGTTTTTAAGAAACAAAAGAATGTCTTACTCTCTTCTTTATTTTGCAGAATTTTTGACAGCAGCTGTATATCTTCTAACATTCCTCTCCTCACCACCATCAGGTAGGCTTCTATATGTTTGTTGCAGTGCATACGTTAGACATCTGATTGTCAAAGAGATGTAATAGTCCTGATTTTTGCCTACAAACATATACTGTGTAGGTGTCCCAGTTTTCTAGTTCCTATCCAGAAGGGTTCTTACTTCCAGGTTCCCTGTGTCTGTAGAGGTTCAGTCTCTTTTAGTCAGTAGCTGTTCTCTTCTGGTGGGAGATTATTTTTAGTTAAGGTTAATGACTTTATTCTGACCTGAATTACTCATGCTATCTTATTTAAGAAGACTATAGCTACTCTCTTGCTGATGAGGCTGTCTGAAGTTCTGTTTATTTGTGTCTGTTTATTCCGAACATAGAGGGCTTCCCCATCTTCTCACTTCATTTCTTTGATTATACTCTAGTGTTAACTACTTTGAATGTGTGTATTTTACATCAAACTTTACTCAATGCTGTCTTCTAGATATCCCTCTTTGTCAGTATTTACGAAGTTGGGAATAGAGTGTGTGATATATGTTGGTTGTTGTTTCATGAGTTTTATACTCTATAGAGGCTATATTTAAGTATGTTGATTTTCTTTTTCAGAATTGTTTCCTTCTTTTCCTTTTTCAAACATTTTGTTCATCAGTTTTTTTTTTTTCCGGGTCCACAATTTTTTGTGGGAAAGAGTAGAATAAAGAGTTTGATCTGTAACTGACTGTGAACAGTTAATTGAGATAACTTAGTACCTTTGGACCAGCCTCAGCTTTTTAAAATTCCACAAGTGAGGTCATATGGTATTTGTCTTTCTGTGCTCGGTTGATTTTATTTAACAGAATGTCTCCATGTTTATCTGTGACAGGATTTTCTTGTTTTAAGTGGGATAATATTCCAATATGTGTGTTTTTAAAGACATAGTCTCATTTCGTAGCCCAAGCTGGAGTACGGTGGCATGATTTCAGCTCACTGCAACCTCCGCCTCCTGGGTTCAAGTGATTCTCATGCCTCAGCCTCCCAAGAAGTTGGGATTACAGGTGCATGCCACCCCACCTGGCTAACTTTTGTATTTTTAGTAGAGACGAGGTTTCTCTATGTTGGTCAGGCTGATCTCGAACTTTTGATCTCAAGCGATCCACCCACCTTGGCCTCTAAAAGTGCTGGGATTACAGGTGTGAGACACTGAGCCCAGCTTGTTTTATTTTTATTTTATTTATTTATATATTTATTTTGAGACAGAGTCTCACTCTGTCGCCCAGGCTGGAGTGCACTGGCGTGATCTGTGCTCATTGCAGCCTCCACCTCCCAGGTTCAATTGATTCTCCTGCCTCAGATCCTGAGTAGCTGAGATTATAGGCACACGCCACTATGCCCAGCTAATTTTTGTATTTTTTTTTTAGTAGAGACGTTTCATCATGTTGGCCAGGCTGGTTTTGAACTCCTGGCCTCAAGTGATCCACCCGCCTTGCCCTCCCAAAGTGCTGGGATTATAGGCATGAGCCAATGCACCCAGTCTTATTTTTTAATTGACTAATAAAATTGTATATATTTATCACGTATAACATGTTGTTTTGAAATATATACACTGTGGAATGGCTAAATCAAGCTAGTTAACGTGTATTACCTCACGTGCTTACCATTATTTCGTGGTGAAAACACTTAAAATCTGTCAGCAATCTTCAATAATATAGTACATTGTTATTAACTATAGCCATCCTGATGTACAATAGATCTTGAATGTATTCCTCCTATTAATTGAAATTTCATATTCTTTGACTGACATTTCCCCAACCCTTCCGCTGTCTGCCAACCAGCCTGTTAACCACTCTCTCTTTTTTTTTTTTATAAGACGGGGTTTCACCATGTTGGTCAGGATGGTCTCGATCTCCTGACTTTGTGATCTGCCCACTTTGGCCTCCCAAAGTGCTGGGATTACAGGCGTGAGCCACAGCGCCCGGCCCCACTCTCTCTTTTTTTTAAAATAAGGGACAGGGTCTTGCTCTGTTGCTCAGTATGGAGTACTGTGGCATGATCATGGCTCACTGCAGCTTCAGTTTTCTGGACGCAAGCAGCCTTCCTGCCTTAGCCTCCCAAGTAGCTGGGACTACAGGCACACAACCATGCCCTGCTAATTTTAAAAATGTTTTTGTAGAGATGGGATCTTGCTGTTGCCCAGGCTAGTCTGGAACTCCTTGCCTCAACTGATCCTCCCACGTGGGCCTCCTGAAGTGTTGACATTACAGGCATGAGCCATCATGTCTGGCCTTACAACTTTGTTATTTTTTATTATTTTTTAGAGTAGTCAAGTGCAGTAGTGAGAAGGTGGGAAAGAGTAGAATAAAGAGTTTGATCTGTAACTGACTGTGAAC